CCTGATTTAGCTCCGTGTGACTTTTTTCTATTTGGAAAATTAAAATTGGCAATGAAAGGAAGATATTTTGATGACATAAAGTCTATTGAAAAGGCGACGACATACTTAAGGCCATCCCGGTTGTCGAGCTAAAACACTCATTCGAATCACTTTTAAATCGTGCAAATCGTTGTATTGAGTCGGAGGGAGACTATTTTAAATAAATGCAAAGTTTCATTCCAAACTATTTTGTAGTTTTTTTTCTTTTTGAAAAGTTCGGAAACTTTTGACACACACCTTGTATATTTATGTGCGCATTGTGCCGCACACGACTTTCTTTTCGACATCGGCGCCATTAGTTCCCACTTGCTCCTTGTAATCGCATTTCATCCGCGATCTCACCGTTCTCATCACATAAGTGTGACCGGCCACCACTTCGTACGAGGCATCTGGTCAGCTCTTGTCGACTGGAATTGGACTCTGAGAATGCTAAGGCTAACATCTGCGGGTCGCTTCTCGGTCAGGAGACCATTTTCGGATGGGTGCTGACCGGCCCATTATCTCCAGCCAACCCCCGCAGCCTGTCCGTTTTTTCCACACGAGTTGCCCGCAGCCTCGGTGACTCACTGGATCAGGGAGATGTGCCCACACAGATCAGTTCGGAATCGGATTCAGGTTGCGAGCAATATTCTGTATCGACTCCTTGTTCAATTTACGCATCGCACGGTAGCAATCAGCTGATGATCCGTCTGATCGGGGCCAAATTCTGGATTCCAAGTTCATGTTCAGCACGATGTCGCCATCGTGAGGAGATGTACCCGAGGTACACAGTCCTACCGATGCAGAGTCTGCAGTGGGATCCACCCGTTGAGGAATTGTCGGCGCTTTCTACGTCTCAGTGCCGACCCTATCGTCGCTGCTGCAGCGGAACAGCGTCAACGTGTTGCCGACTGCGCTAGTGTGCATTGACACCGGGACCCGGAGTATAAAGTATAAAGTATACTTATATAAAGTATTTATATTAGTTATAGTTTATTATTTAAGTTATTTAAAGTATGGACAAAAATAGCCCATACAAAAATGATCCCATTTTTTTAAATGGTGAAGCTCTCAGAGGATGCGCCCATATGCACGGTAGTGGAGTCGATGTAGGACCTTGTCATGTAGGACCAATCGCTCCCACAGACTATAACTAATTTAGCGGCTGCTGCCTGACCCGACATTCTCAAAATAATGGGCTATAAGTTGGTGTATCGTGCTTATTGGCGCATCCTCTTATGTCTGAGATAATGCTGAAAACAGTGAAGGGGCAATTTTTCAAACCCATTTTTAAGCTACTTAAATATGGTAGAACCCGCTCAAAGTAAGAAAAAACAATAGTTTATTCAATTCTTAACAATTCTAGTGTTTATATGATACAAATTTAGTGGCTATATACAGAAATAATTGAAAAACAAAAAGTTCGTTGCTGTGTTCCAATTCCATCGTTCCACTTCGACGCTAACTGAGCGACGCTATTGTGACGGACATAAATCCCTTTAAGCAAATTGTGTGGCATAGACATAAATTAAATGCATTGTTGTCTCAATAGCCCTGTTTTTAAAGCACGATCTTAGATGGTTACTAATTTTAAGGGGGATGCTTAGTTGTTTTTATTTGATATATTAAAAATTTCTAAGAAAGCTAAATTGGAAGAAATAATGTTTTTATAAACTTGCAGAGGGTATTACAATTTTGTCCAAAAGTGTGCAACGCAGGGAAGGAGACATCTTCGACCCTATAAAGTATATAGTCAGCAAAGAAATTATTCGGACACAGAAATATACTTATATAAAGGCTTAAAAGAAAAAAGAAATTTTTGGCAGTGTTTTTATTTTTTTTTATTAAAAACTGATTTTTCAAAACATATTATTAAATAAAAATTTAATTATTTTTATTGTGTATATAAATATAAAAAGAAAAGCAAAACAACAAAAAATTATTCGTACACCTTCAAGATTATCTGTTTTCTTTGTGAATACAACGGTAATCGCTGAATAATACTTCGATCTAGACAAATACGTGCGTTTTTTTATGCTATGCTTTACTTTTGCTTTCAAATTATTATTAAAAAAAGTGTATGTTAACTTACTTTTGCTTTACTTTTGCTTTCAAATTATTATTAAAAAAAGTGTATGTTAACGGGTGTCCGAATAATTTCTGTGCGGACTGTATATTCCTGATCAGGATCACCTCTAGGGTTGTTAAATATTTTATAAGATATCGTATCGATGATATTTTTTTTATCAAAAAATATGATGATAATATTTAAAATATCACTGGGAAATATCGACATACACATTTGATATTTATACCCTTGCAGAGGGTATTATAATTTTGTCCAAAAGTGTGCAACGCAGTGAAATAGACATCTCCGACCCTATAAAGTACACTCGCCAGAAAAACTATGCGTACAAACATGTTCGCTCACTTTGGCTTCGAAAAAAAAGTGTTAATAGTATACATAGAAAATTATTTTTTTTTCTAAAAAGTAGTTCATTTTATTAGCTTTAATGGTGTGTAACTTCCTAATTCCTAGATTTTAAACTTTAGATAATATAGAAAAAATAAAAAAAATAGTCGGATTTTCAGTCAGAAAAAGTATGCGTACAAAACTTAAAATATAGAAAAAAATCCCTTTTTTTTATAAATTATTACGAAGTTGGATATCCTTTTAGTTTCATAACTTCATCCAACCAATTTGGCATTGGGTGGTCCAATTTCGCCGTATCCTTTGCCGTTATTTTACTCCATTCTTCCTGAATAAACCTTTTGAGCATATCCTTGGATGTTATGGTGTTTTGGCGAGTCCTGAGCTCCAATAGGTCCCATAGATGATTCATAGGATTTAGATTTCAGGATTGCGGTGTCGAATTTAAGTGATTTTCCACATTATAAAGCATCTACAGCTTGGTATTGTGAGCACAATGTCTTGGATCATTGTCCTGTTGAAACAAAAAATCATTTTCCAGTCCTAATTTTGAGCCCTTTGAAATAAATTGGGTCTTAAAATGTTGATATACTTCTTGTGATCCTTTCTGGATTCAAAAAATTCCGGATTCCCGACTCTACAAGCCGCTATACATACCCGAACCATTATACCACCACCACCGTGTTTGACGGTTGGGGCAAGGTTTGGGTATTTCTTGAATTTTACGTCCTTTTATCCCAAATATAAAACATTTTTAGTGATAAAAGCAAATTTTGTATATTTGGGATAAAATCTCGTCACCTGGTATGGCGAAAGAAGGCTAAAACCCTATATATCCAACATATTGCCCCAACCGTAAAACACGGTGGCGGTGGTACAATGGTTCGGGTATGTGTAGCGGCTAGTAGAGTCGGGAATCCGGAATTTTTTGAATCCAGAAAGGATCACAAGAAGTATATCAACATTTTAAGACCCAATTTATTTCAAAGCGCTCAAAATTAGGACTGGAAAATGATTTTTTGTTTCAACAGGACAATGATCCAAGACATTGTGCTCACAATACCAAGCTGTAGATGCTTTATAATGTGGAAAATCACTTAAATTCGACACCGCAATCCTGAAATCTAAATCCTATGAATCATCTATGGGACCTATTGGAGCTCAGGACTCGCCAAAACACCATAACATCCAAGGATATGCTCAAAAGGTTTATTCAGGAAGAATGGAGTAAAATAACGGCAAAGGATACGGCGAAATTGGACCACCCAATGCCAAATTGGTTGGATGAAGTTATGAAACTAAAAGGATATCCAACTTCGTAATAATTTATAAAAAAAAGGGATTTTTTTCTATATTTTAAGTTTTGTACGCATACTTTTTCTGACTGAAAATCCGACTATTTTTTTTATTTTTTCTATATTATCTAAAGTTTAAAAGCTAGGAATTAGGAAGTTACACACCATTAAAGCTAATAAAATGAACTACTTTTTAGAAAAAAAAATAATTTTCTATGTATACTATTAACACTTTTTTTTCGAAGCCAAAGTGAGCGAACATGTTTGTACGCATAGTTTTTCTGGCGAGTGTATATATATTCTTGATCAGGATCACCTCCTGAGTTGATATGAGCATGTCCGTCTGTTTCTACGCAAACTAGTCTCTCAGTTTTAAAGCTATCGAAACATGAAACTTTACACACACCCTTCTTTCCTTTGCAGGCAGTATAAAAGTCGGAACGGCCGGGATTGGCCGACTATATCCTATAGCTGCCATATAACGGATTGATCGAAAATGCTGCAACTTTGTTGTTTTTTGAGTTAGAGAGTTCGGATTTGGCCTGAGTGCTATTTTTGGCAAAATAATACGCCATGCCAAATTATCGTAAGGACCGACCATATCCTATAGCTGCCATATAACTGAACGATCGGTGATAGATGCTTGGGATTTTTTTTTATTGTATATAATTGGGTACTTTATGATATTCTCATAAGGATCGGCCAACTATATCCTATGTTTGCAATATACATACGGTTTTAACTGCAAGGGTATATCATGTTCGGCTCCGCCCGAAGTCAGCTTTCCTTTCTTGTTTTTTTTTTTTAATTTTAATTCATTTTAGTTTATTGAAAACTTGAAGAATGTCGGGTTTTTCAGTGGCTTAGAGGCGTAACCGATTGTACCAGTGTTGCTTATGTAAGTATGTAGCTTATTGAAGGCTAAAACTAGCTTATTTTTAATCAAAAAAGCTTGAAAATGTTGTAAATAGCTTACAGCTTTAAGTTTAGTTTTTTCATCTTTGATACTATCAGTTCGCAGAAATATATAAATGTAATTCGTTCCTATGCAAAATATGCAGACTCTAAGATTTCATAAGGTGACTTGGTTATATCAGAAACAAAAATAAAGATTTTGTATGAAAGATTTTATCATAATAAAAATAATTAACAGAATTTTAAGAGAATTTTATATATTGGCTTATATATGTTAGCGGATTAATTAAAAATTTTAGCTTGTTTTGCTTAGTAACATATCTTTTTTTAAAATAAATCCAAGCTGCACTGGCAGAAGTAGTCTGGCAACACTGCTAAAAAAATGAATAGACAAAAAATCATGATTAATACTTTTGATTAAGCTATATCAGTGACTAGTTTTCATATCTTCGGTGTATGTATTTTTTCCTATAATATGCTTTGGCAACTGAAAATCAAATATAGCCAAATTCCTAATTCTATCAGAGAGAAACAGTTGTTTTGGGCAAAACAAACAAAGCGATTTTACTCGGACAGCATAATGGTAAAATACTTAAGCCAAACCGAAGCCATCAATGTGGACCAAGAGCTCTTCAATGAGTACAAGTTTAGCGTGGACCAGCTAATGGAGCTAGCTGGACTGAGTTGCGCGCACGCCATTAGCAAATGCTTCCCAACAGATAAGTATGGTCGTGTCCTGATTTGCTGCGGACCTGGCAATAATGGAGGCGATGGATTAGTTTGCGCCCGCCACTTAGCCCTCATGGGGTATTCACCAACAATATACTACCCAAAACCCACACCAAAGCCGTTGTACGAAAACTTAAGCCACCAATGCAAACTGATGGAGATCTGCAGAGTGAAAGACTGTCCGGCTAACAAAGAGGCTGCCTCCAATTTTGACCTCATAGTAGATGCTCTTTTTGGTTTCAGCTTTAAGCCTCCAGTAAGGGCAGAATTTGAAGCCATAATTAAATTGATGCAAAATACCACGTTGCCCATAGCGAGGTGGGTTTCGTTTCCATATAATGATAAGTTATTGTTTTTAAAAAAATCTCTATTTCATGTTTACAGTGTGGATATTCCCAGCGGTTGGGATGTGGAGAAAGGAAAGGTTAAAGACTGCGATCTGGAACCAGCTTTGCTAATTTCCCTAACCGCTCCCAAAATATGCGCCCGGCATTTCAAAGGTGAACATTATCTGGGCGGGAGATTCGTCCCTCCGGCACTGCAACGCAAGTACGATCTCAACTTGCCAACCTATCCGGGCAACGACCTATGCGTCAAACTGTGATTTATTTAATCAATTGGAAATCAAAAAATTGCTATTGTTATATTCACTACCAAATAAAAACGAGAAAAAAAAAGAAGGAGAGATAACTCCGGTCGCAGCCAAAGTATCCGTGCAGTTAATCAGGTCTTAAATATCGGATGCGACCGATGAGAATAACATTATAAAACCAATTTTTTAGAATACAAAATTGATAAAAGAATCCCAAGCTTCTATAAAAAACACGAAAGTTGGGTAATTTTCGATCGTTCAGTTACTTGGCTGCTATAAGATGTAGTCAGCCGATCCTCATGAAATTTGTAAGATCGGATGAGTTGGCCAAAATAGAATTTTCATAGATATAATAGTCTGTCCATACAGACTAAGAGGTCGTTTTCTCTATAGAAAGTACAGATGAAGAAGAGTTTATTTCTTTCAGAACTGTTGCTATGAAAATATAAAACAAAGGAAAACAAGGAAAGCTAACTTCGGGCGGGGCCGAAGTTGATATATATATATATACCGGATATATATCGCAAACATCGGATATAGTTGGCCGATCCTTATGAGAATTTCATAATAAAACCAATTAATTACAATAAAAAATCTAAAACTAAGTCCAAACTTCCATCTTCAAAAATATCAAAGTTGGTATTTTTACCAAGTACCATTTCCGATTGTTATATGGCAGCTATAAGATATAGTCGGCCGATCGTTATGAAATTTGGTAGGTCAAGTGACCAAAAAATAGAATCTGTACTAAGTTCTTGCTTTCTATATTCAAAAACACGAAAGTTGCGTCATTTTGAGGGCTCCAAAATGTTTAATGAGATTAGTTTATCTCACAGTATAAAAAAATAAAATTTTTAATAATATACATATTTTTTATTATATTATATATTAAATTATATTATATTATTATAGTATAATTTATTAATTAAATAATTTAAATATAAATATTTTTTTATTATTAAAAATTTAACTTTTTACTTATATATAAAATAAATTAAAAAAATTGTATTTAAATATAAAAACAAGAAAGGAAAGCTAACTTCGGGCGGAGCCGAAATTGATATACCCTTGCAGTTAAAACCGGATATATATCGCAAACATCGGATATAGTTGGCCGATCCTTATTAGAATATGATAATATAACCCAACTTATTATAATACAAAATTTAAAACAAGTCCCAAACTTCTATCTTTAACAATACCAAAGTTGGTATTTCTACCAAAAACCATTTCCGATCGTTCAGTTATATGGCAGCTATAGGATATAGTCGGCCGATTCTAATGAAATTTGGTAGGTTGTATCAACTAATCAAAAATAGAATCTGTACTAAGTTTCAGATTTCTATCTTCAAAAAAACGAAAGTTGGGTCATTTCCGATCGTTCAGTTATATGGCAGCTATAGGATATAGTCGGCCGATCCTTATGAAATTTGGCATGTCGTAATGTTTTGCCAAAGATAGATTTCGTGTCAAATTTGAATTCTCTAACTCTAAAAACACCAAAGTTATACGATTCGTTAAGATAACGAATGTCTCATCTTTGCGAACCAAATAAGCAAATTATTCAGCCTTGAAGAGGTCTCATCGAGTTTCCGTTGTTGACGAAGTTGCTTGCAAACGATTTTTTTTTGTTTAAAACTTTAAAGCGTTATTCCCACAACTCACGTTTTCAAAGTCGGTTTCAAAAGCCCCTCATAACTTCAAAACTACTGCACCGATCCTTTTGAAATTTTTAACACTATTTCTGTAGATATTTTACGAGGTAACGCTGTCGATTTTTTCCCAAAAAATTGAGTTTTTCACTTCAAAGTCTTCAAAAAAATTAAGAAATTGCAATTTTCAAAAAACCTTTACAGCGTTACCTGGGGCGAACTATTATCTAACGAATGAATTTTCATTTTTTGATAAAAATGATCCAGCACCGACTTATGAGGGGCACCGCAATTCAACTTTTTTGGCGACTCGTCCGGACAATTGCTACCATTGCCATATTTTTAAATATTTTTTTGTAAAAATTTGATAGAACATTCTTCAAATGTCATACTTTAATATACCGTTGGTTGAATAAATAAATTTTAACTGTGTCGTCAGGAAAAAAATCACAAAAACATGGCTTTTTTCGCATGATTTGACCTTACCCTCCCCTTAAAGAAAATGTATGTGGAATTTATGGAACAATACGAATCCTTAGCTCATATGTCCCCTACAAGCAATGATGTTCTTGCTACTCCACACTACGTCATACCCCATCAGTGTGTCTTACGGCCTCAAAGCACATCGACCAATTTACGAGTCGTGTTAATGCGTCTTCTAAGACATCAGCACAGAAGTGCCTAAACGATCTTTTGATGGTTGATCCCACAGTTGTATTCAACTCTTTTTCGGTTCCTGCTAAACAGATTCGCTCGAATATCTGACCTAAAAAAAATGTATCACCAAGTAATGGTAAATGAAGCCGATAGGCAACAACAGTTGACAGTGTGGAGGAAAGACCCATCAAAGTCCTTGAAACTGTGCTAGCTCAACACCGTTACATATGGCACTGCGCCAGCCCCATTCCTGGCCATAAGGTGTTTGAAGAGGTTGAGTGAATCTGTGAAAAATACATTCCCTCGAGCTGCCGAAGTTATTGGGTCCGACTTTTGCGTCGACGACATGTTAACGGGTGCTGGTTGCATTGAGGAGCTAAAGACAATTAAGTCTGAAGTAACTCAGGTTCTTCAAAACGCTGGGTTTGAATTGAGCAAGTGGTTTTCAAACTCGCCTGAAGTTACTGCATCCGAGAGGAATCGCTTGGGTTCCTAAAGAAGATGTATTTAAATTTGAAATTGATGCTTCAGTCATGGGTCAAAGGGCGACCAAGCGGAACATTCTTTCGGTGAAATCGAAGTTGTTTGACCCCCTTGGCCTATTAAGCCCTATACTTATAAAAGGAAAGATCCTATTGCAGGAACTTTGGCTAAATAAGCTAGATTGGGATGAGTCAATTCCACTGCACTTAGAAACAGCGTGGAACAAAATACAAGTTGCCCTGTCGCAATTAGAGGACATCTCAATTCCGAGATTCGTGTTTACCGAGCCGATGTCACCGATTCAAATTCATGCCTTTTCTGACGCATCGATGAGAGCTTATGGAGCCTGCGTCTATATTCGTTGCAAATCTGCAGAAGGTATTAAAGTTTCATTGTTGACGGCAAAGTCCAAAGTAGCGCCGTTCAAGACAAAGACGCTCCCCCGTCTTGAGTTATGTGCCGCTCACCTTCTCGCAGATCTCTGCCGCAAGATAAAGCTTCTAATAAAAGTTCCGATCGAACGAAGTGTATTTTGGTCGGATTCAGAAGTAACTCTTCATTGGATTCGTTCCCATCCATCGTCGTTGTCAACGTTCGTATCGAATAGAGTAGCTGAAATTCAAGAGTGGTCAGATGATAGCACGTGGCGGCATGTACCAACTAAACAGAACCCGGCAGATATAGTGTCCAGAGGTGGAGACGTAAAAGAGACTGTAGAATCGATCTGGTTTACAGGTCCATCGTTTTTAAAGGAACCGGAAGATAAGTGGTCGACGAGCCCCCGGTTTGATCCGTCACCAGAACTTCAACAGATGGAAGCGAAAAAGAATGCGGTCGGATTAACCGCAATCGTATCTACCTCAGATTTTTTGGAAGTGATAGAAGGTTATTCCTCTCACCTAAAACTGCTGCGAATGTTCGTTTATATGTTCCGCTTTATAAGGAAATCGAAGAAATTAGTAGTGAATTCGGATATTGTTCCCTCACCTGTCGAATATAATGAAGCTTTTAAGAAAATAGTCGAAATAGTCCAAGAGCACGAGTATCAAGATGAAATAGAAAAGATCCGAAAAAATTTAAGTGTTAGCCCTAGCCTACAAAAGCTAAATCCCTTTCTACACGAATCTTCAGAGGCTGGGCTTACCTTTTCGTTGTTGCGGGTTGGGGGGGCGACTAGCTAATGCTCCTATATCGTACGATGCCAAGTTTCCAGTATTGTTGACAAAACGCTCTCAATTTGTTCAGAGCTATGACCGATACTTGCACGAGTCGAATTTTCATGTGGGTCCACGAGCACTAGTGAGTCTTTTGCGACAGCGCATATAGATCATAAATACGCAGGAAGTCTGCAGTCAGATAGTACGGTCATGCATACGCTGCTTTAAATGCAAGCCTCGTCTGATGACTGAAATAATGGGACATTTACCCTTAGATAGAATTTGTGCTCTCCGCCCATTCTCCATATGTGGTGTTGATTTTGTTTTATTGTTTTATTTATTTTATTTTTCTCGTCTTACGACGAGAAAGGGTTTTCCCAAACACAAAGGTGGGCTTAAACAAAGGTGGTTTTTGTTTATAATTATAATAAGACTTGAGGAACAAATTTGTTCACCGCATTATAAATTATCTCGTAAATCCGTAGAATCCGTAGCAGATTCAATTAAGCTTAAAGATGAAAGTAAAAATTAAAATAAATTTAAGCCAATCGATGGCGAAGGGTTTTATAATCCGTTTTCCTAATACATTTGGAGCGAGGTTGTATTTTAAAACTAGCTTGATTATGCGGCACATCAATTAACACAGAAGCTAATAGCGTAGCATGGGGTATGTACTCAGAAAGCGGTAGCGGCGACAGCCGAATTATTGCCACAGAGGATGTCACATTGGAGAATATATGATTCAGGATTTGCCACGAGTGTTATTAACATCAGTTAGCCCATGGTGTCGGGTCGGGCAGCAACTGCTCTGTTAGTGCTAAGTTTATCTATTATGCATAAGTAAATACAGGCCACTTATGGCTTTTATAAACAATATTTTCAATCTCTGCATTTGCCTTTGGCTTTGTCTTTGGCTCAATTATCCAACCCACAAATCCAGGCCACTTATGGCTTTCCACTTATGGATTTTATAAACAGTATTTTCAAGCTCTGCATTTGCCTTCGGCTTTGTCTTTGGCTGTGAGGTCCAATCTCGGTTCCCCATAAACAAATCAAAATCAAAAGTAAACATCAGCTTCCCTCCGAATCCCAATCAATTGCGCCATTTGCATTTCAAGTACCCACCAAATTGCATCGATCAGCTTAATCGAATTTCACAATGAGAT